TATATAATTTTTCTCCTCTCAGAATCTCTCACTGTCTCTATTGTTCTTTGTCTCTCACTCTATCTCTGTCCCACCTCAGGTCTCTCCATCTCTCTTCATATCTCTTGTTCTCTGTGTCTCTCTCTTCCCCTATGTCTGTCTCTTTGTTTGTGTCTCTCTTTGTCTCTATGAGTCTCTATATATCCCTGTCTCTCAGTCCCATGGATAGAGGAGCAGTTGTCAACTTGAAGCTCTACACCTAACAACTCACCCTGACACAGAGTGGAAGGGCCCTGGCCCTCACCTATTCCACACCTCTCCCCTTCCCAGTGTATAAGAGGAGCAAATTGAAGCCCAGAAATGGGTGAGAGGGCCTCTCCCAAGTCCTCACAGAAATACATTGGCAGATTTGAGACCCTAGCTCAGCTCTTAAGACTCTCAGTGGAAGCGTTGCTCTGTCTCTCTCCCCTACTCTGAGCCTCAGTTTACCTCTCAGCACCCATGAGGGGGCAAGGGGACATGGGTTGTCCCCCATCTGCTGCCATTCCTCATTCTGTCTTCTCACAGGTGGGACCCTCACTAAGGCAGGAGGATCCATGGTCACAGTGTGGGGCTTAGCCTCCCAAGAGCTAGCTGGGTGGGTCCTGGGGCCTCATGGGAAAGGAGGCCTCGTGGGCTGAGGGTGGTGTCACTAGGAGGACATCGGTCAGTGGGTCTGACTATGGACAGAGCTCAGCCATGTCCCCAGAGTTGGCACTGGTTCCCAGCGCCTTTCCAGAGAGCCTGGTGGTGGGATCTCTACTAGCAAAGGCCAGGGCTTTTCCTGCTTCCTGCCACAAGGCCCTCACCAAAGGTGCACCAGCCTCAACCTCCCCTGTCTTCCTTCCCCATCTCCGGCAGAGTGCCTGTGAGTCTGGAACATTGTCCCAGAATGGACAGGGAGTCTAAGGTCCTGCAGTGTCCATTCATCGATCACTGACATTTTGCTAAGCATTTCATGGAAGATTGGGATTGTTATTGTCCCAATTCACATAGGAGCCTGAGGAGAATTGTAGCTAGTTAGTAGCAGAGCCTGGCTCCAGGCTGGGGAAAGGAGAGGGGGTAATCCTGACTCTCCTGCCTTCACAGAACTTGGGATGGAGACTCGGGGGAGGGGGGGTTGTTATTGCAATTTCAGGCCTGGTAGGTGAAAGACCCAATGAAGTAGTGAGCTTTCTGTCCTTTTGGGAGTTTCAGTATGTTTGGATACCAGGAACATTGGTTCACATACGAAGAAGTTGGACCCATGGACCCCATAGAGTCTGTGGGTTTGAGATTCTGGGATCCTTTGAATCTAAGTAATGATGTCCCATGACTCTGGGGTTCTGGTGTAATACCATTGGAAGACCCTGAGGGTCCCAGTATCTGTAGGATCTGCATGGCACTCCTCAAGCCTCAAATCTTGGGCCTATTCTTGCCTGAGAAGGGCCAGGTCTACAGGGCCCCGGGGCTTGTCATGGTGGCCAGATGGACGTCACTCACCACATCCGCCAGCGCCCTCATCACCCCACCTGGGCCACACCAGCTGAAGGATGGGCCAGCTAATTCTCGGAACGAAACCTGTGGGGTTGGGTGTCTGCCCCTTTGTCTTCCTCCTCGGTGCCGATGAAGCCCAGCGCATCCGGCCGCTGTGACGTCAATGGCGGAAAAATCTGGGGAAGTTGGAGGCTCTGACAACAGGGCCCAGATGCAGACCCCGATATGAAAACACAATCTATGTCCCAGAAACATCCTCCATGCGTCTTCTGAGAAATAGTCAGAAAGGGACGCCCCACCAGACAGTGCAGGAAGCTGGCTGCCCAGCCCAGCCCTCCCGTACCCCACTACCAGACAGACCATACCCATGTCCCCTTTCTGAGAATGTATCTCTGCTTCCCTGAGTCAGGCCATTCCACATGTGTTTGGGGAGGAGATTTCTTATAAGCTCTGGCCAACTGTCCAGGCAGCTTCAGAAGTGACCACAGGAAGCTGTGTGGACCACGCCAGGGTAAGGAAAAACATCCACTCACTAGTTTGCTCCACTTCTGTAACAAAGTACCACAAACAGGGTGACTTAACAGAAATGTATTGTCTTGGTTCTGGAGGCCTGAAGTCCTAGATCAAGGTGATGGCAGGATTGGCTCCTTCTACAGCAGTGAGGGAGAAAGTGTCCAGGCCTCCCTCCTAGCTTCTCATGGTTTCCTGGTAATTTTTGGCATTCCTTGGCTTGTAGAAGCATCACCCTGATTTCCACCTTCATTCATCCGCTCATTCCTTCACGTACCTCCTCGTTGTCACTGATGTTCTCTCAGGCTCTTATCCTGAGCCTTCAGAGGCCCAGGCTCCTGTTTCTCACACAGTAATGTTCTAACCCCCAGGGGAGACTAAGAGTTGAGGATCTGAATTTTCACCCCACCTCCCTCAGCACCACAGCTCTGACAACCCCCATGGCTGACAGCAAAGAAAGGAAGGTGCAAGCTGTTCTCGGCAGCTGTTTGCCCCACCCTGTACTGTTGGGTGATGCGGGAGACACACACAGCCCCACAGCAGGGGGCCTGTGAAATGTGGACACACACACACAACCTTTCTGGAGAAAGCAGTGGAGCTCCCAAGTCGCCATGGGACTGTGGAATGCTGTACCTAGGTGTCCTCTTCAGTAACATGGAGGTTGGACTGGGCAGTCCCTTCTAGCTCTGTCTTCCTCTAGGACTGGGATTACAGGATTCTGGGAAACCAAAGCCCTGCCTGTTGGGAAGTATAGGGTTCTAGAGCCACTATGAAGGGCTTTCTGGATTGGCCTTGGACAGGGGAAGAGGAGGAAGAGTGGGCATTTCAGGCAAGCCAAACGGCATGAGCACAAAGGCTTTGGGGTAGATTCTGATAAGGACTGAATTGAGGAGCTCCCACAGGCCCCGGCTCAAGAGAGCCTGTCTCTCCTCGTCTGGCACCTGCCATGTCAGTTCTGTGCAGGGTAGAGCCCAGAGATGACCAGACTCCTGTACTCAGCTGTCCATTCAGCATTTCCACTAGTATGTCTAATGCCACATGTTCATCCACACCTGGATCATCACCCCCCTACTTTGTTTCCCCCGTCTCCCTCATCCTAGGTCACATCAGCTCTGTCCCTACAGCTGCTCTGTCACTTTGACTCTCTCTCTCTCTCAGCCCCAGATCCAAGCTACCAGAAAGTTCTCTGACTCTACCTTCTAAACATGCTCAGAATCCACCCACTTCTCACCATCTCCACTGTCACCATCCTGGTCTGTGCTACCATCGTCACTTACTGGGACTGTTGCAGTAGCTTCCTCACTAGTCCTCTATTTCTGCCCTCACCTTCTTAGAGTCTGTCCCTTCACAGCAACCAGTGGGATCTTTTGAGTCCACGTCCCCTGCCACTCCCAGATATGCCCAAGTCACTGGGGTAAAATTATGCTCCCAGAAGAAAATCAGAGACCAGCCCCAGTGGGATCAGCAAAGGTTGTGGGATCAGCAAAGGTTGTGTGACCGATGCCAGGTTCAGGGAGGACTGGAGGGCTGAGGCCTGAATTCAAGGCCTCAAGTGGTGGGGGAAGGAGCTGAGACCTACCCTGGCTGAGGCCCCACAAACCACCATGAACCCCCAACTGCCCTCTGGAGAACACATCCCCACCAGGGCTGTGCCAGCACGTGTAGGCAAGCCACATGCTGAATGGTGCAAGTCTGCACATGGGACATGTGTGCGGACACACACACACACACCCATGTTCCTGACACCAATGTGTGTGTATGTGTGCATGCACCCATGATTAGAGCTGGGGTCTAATTGTGGGATCCTTCGGGACATGTCCCAGCCAATGACTGCTCTGACCAGAGGGGGTGTCCACATGGTTCAGGTGGTTGAGTATTTTGCACACCGCCAACACATGTATAACTCCTTCCCCTATGTCTCTACAGCCTGACCTTGGACAAGGACCCAATGCCCAACCCCAGGCCTGCCAAGCCCTTGGCCCCTTCGTTGGTGCTCAGCCCATCCCCAGGAGTCTCGTCCAACTGGAGGGCTGCACCCAAGGCCTCAGACCTACTGGGGGCCAAGGGCCCGGGGGCAACCTTCCAGGGCCGGGACCTCCGAGGTGGGGCCCATGCCTCCTCCTCCTCCTTGAACCCCATGCCACCATCACAGCTGCAGGTAAGGCCCGGGGCCCAGGATGGAGCAAGCAGGGTGGAGTACCTGGGCCTACAGGTGCCGACCTTTACTGTGGCACCGGGCGGGGGGCCCGGCTGGGGAACAGGAAGTGGTTTTCTGGGTCCCAGGCAAGTCTGTGACTTATGCAGATGTCACGGGGCTAAGAAAGTCCCCACTTAGCAGGTCTCAGAGATCCGAGGCTCTCCCCAAACTCCCAATCCCTCTCAGGAGAGAAGACTTTATCATGGTCCCACAGGTATGGCCATGTGTCCCCATCCCCATGTGACAGAAGAGAGGATGGGGCCCTAGGACGTGAGATGACAGAGTTGAGGCCAGTTCTGCCACTTATTAGTTGATCTTGTGAAAGTCACTCAATCTCCCTGAGGTTGAGTTTTTACATATGTATAAAGGGGATGGTCCTAGCACCTACCACGTGAGGTTGTGGTGAGGAGCATATGAATTCAACATTTAGAACAGTGAGGATGAGGACAGCATCTCTCCTGCCTGCTTTCTCCCCCCAGCTGCCCACAGTGCCCCTCGTCATGGTGGCACCTTCTGGAACACGGCTGGGTCCTTCGCCCCACTTGCAGGCACTCCTCCAAGACAGGCCACACTTCATGCACCAGGTATGGACCGTGACTGGGCAGGGAGGAGGGAGTAGGTGGGGGAATTGGGAGGAGGCCAGGTGGAACCATAGTCCATATGTGCCCCCAGCTCTCAACAGTGGATGCCCATGCCCGGACCCCCATGCTGCAGGTGCACCCACTGGAAAGACCAGCTATGATCAGCCTCCCGCCACCCACTGCTGCCACTGGGGTCTTCTCTCTCAAGGCCCGGCCTGGCCTGCCACCTGGTAATACCACGCCCCACAGCCCCACAGAATCCCAGAGCCCCCCAAGTCCTTGACTATGAGCAGTGTAGGCTGCTGAATTGTGGCCCTCAAGGGTTAGGTGTCAGCTTTTATCATCTCGGAAACTCCAACCTCCGAAAAATGTCAGGCTCAGAACCTGAAGGGTACAGAACATCAAAATCATGGAACCAGATCTTTGCAGAGTTCATCAAAATGTCAGCACTTGTGAATGGCAGTCTTTGAGCTGTTCCACCAAAAACCTTGGGCGTTAGGGACACCAGAGGCTCAGGAGGGTGGGAAGCTCAAAAGGAGAGGCCTTGTGGGCCAAGCTCCAGAGCTCAGTTCATAGCCTCCGTCTCCAAAGGTGCCCTGTCCCTACCTACAGGGATCAACATGGCCAGCCTGGAGTGGGTGTCCAGGGAACCAGCATTGCTCTGCACCTTCCCAAGCCCTGGTGCACCCAAGAAAGACAGGTCAGTGGGAAAAGCTGGGAAGGACCCTTGCCTTGGTATTCCCTCCCCTGACACCTTCTGTCCCCCCAGCACCCTTTCGACCGTGCCCCAGGGCTCCTACTCACTGCTGGCAAATGGTGTCTGCAAGTGGCCCGGATGTGAGAAGGTCTTTGAGGAGCCAGAGGACTTCCTCAAGTGAGTGTCCCAGGCCTATTCCAGTCCAGAGCGGTCCCCAGTTTGTGGGAGGAGGTCTTGGGTGCAGGTCTCAGCTCAGGCCTCACCCCGGTAGGTAGTAATTTGATAAAAGAGGCAAAAGCTGAGCCCTGGCTGCTGTGCTAAGTGGTTGGAGCATCGGCCTGCACAACAAAGGGTTGTGGGTTCAATTCCTGGTCAAGGGTATGTACCTACAATCCCAGTACCAGTACATACCTACAATCCCCTGCATGTGCAGGAGGATATCCATGTGTCTTTCACATCGATGTCTCTCTCCCTCTCTCTCTCTCTCTCTCTCTCTCTCTCTCTCTCTCTCCCTCCCTTCCACTCTCTCTAAAAATCTATGGAAAATATATCCTCGGGCCCTGACTGGTTTGGCTCAGTGGATAGAGCATCGGCCTGCGGACTGAGGGGTCCCAGGTTCGATTCCAGTAAAGGGCATGTGCCTTGGTTGCGGGCACATCCCCAGTAGGGGGTGTGCAGGAGGCAGCTGATCGATGTTTCTTTCTCATCGATGTTTCTAACTCTCTATCCCTCTCCCTTCCTCTCTGTAAAAAATCAATAAAATATAT